TATTATCTGTCTCACCGAGACAGATCTCAGACAGATCCTGAGACGCTCCTGCCTGACATTTTTATTTTATTCACGGAAAAAAATCAGACTAGTTATTTCTCTTGGCGTTCAGTTTATACATTCAAACAGCACAGCACTCTATTTAAACTACTTACATGTAAATCTGTCATTTGTCCATCCACTCAATTTCATCCGCTTATCCAGAGTCGGGTTACGGGGGCAGTAGCCTAAGTCGAGAGGCCCAGACTTCCCTCTCCCCAGCCACTTGGGCCAGCTCCTCCGGGGAAATCCCAAGGTGTTCCCTGGCCAGGTCCGGTAAGAAGTCCGCTCCGACAGCTTCTGGCGTTTAGTCTATTTAATTTCTGACTATATAAAACGATTTCTTTGGTTTTAAAGTGTGAAGTAAACTCCGACGAAGTAAAATCCAAGCCGATCCCGTTCATGTTCATGTTTACGATCCGTGTTTGTTTACCTTTTTTTTCCTGCCAATATGGCGTCTACTAACTGAGAGTCACGTGGGGTCCGGAGCTCTATAGGCTGACAAAATTATTTTCTTGTCCTGTTTGTTATGTGCCATGGACTCAACATAGGATGTCGGTGAATTTTAAACATGCATTTGACTCTTATGTCTCTTGAAGGCCACTCCAAAACGTTGGTCCATCTCCAAACTGCGAAGGTTGGTGTCAAAACATGAACTTGAAATGGTTATCCCTTTACCTCCTCCCGTCTAGATCACTGTAACACACTCTTCACACGTTTTAACAAAAAAGCCCTTGACCGCCTTCAGTTGGTCCAGAACTCTGCAGTGAGGCTCCTAATTGGAGCAAACAGAAGAGCAGTGTTTGACTTTAGGACAACAATTCTGTTGATGTCTAACAAAGGTTTAGCAGACTGATAGAAGTGCTATGCAATAAGGCTGATGTGATTTTTTAAGTGCTGATGTAATTGCATGCTAATTTTTTAAACACACCAGAGTTCAATTCAAGAGCAGGTAATTACATGATTGCTGGATAGATTTTATTTGATATATTATTGTCAGACTTGGAGCCACATTGGGTCAGATCTGTATAGCTTCTCCAGCATCTGATGATGCCACAGACATATTTTAGTTTACAGAAATGTGTAGTATCCATTTGGTAAAGTCCCCTGCTGTCTTAACATGACAATATCTCTCCACACAAAGAAAATATGGTTTTACCAGCTTGATGATTAAAAAAAAAGAAAAAAATGTGTGTCTGGTTTGCTCACAGACCCCCTACCTGAATCCCATCCAACACCTTGGGGATGAATTGGCATGCTGGCTGTGAGCTGACCAACCTCACTAATGCTTTTGTGACAGAATGGCAGCAAATCCCTGCAGTCAGCTTTGTAAATCTTGGACTGTGATCAGGGTTTAAAGCTTTGAAAGTGTATTCCCATCCACCTATACATAAATCTCTACCAAAGTTATCCATTTTTGTAGCCTCAGACTTTATAAAAAAAGATGACTTTCTACTGCCTCCACATTCTGTGGGATGCTGAATTACTCTCCATTTTCTCTGCAGCAAACGTGGGCGACAGCGGTAAGAGCCCAGCATACTCCGACACCCCCCACCCGCCCCTCTACTCTCCTGCTCTTTATGCTCAGTTAACATCATGTTACACCTGTGAAGTGCAAAGAGAGCGAATAAATCGTGGGTTGAGTTCCACTTTACAATAACTAAAAAAGGGACATCTAGTGTTAAAATGAAGTCCACTCTGTTGTGTGCAGACACGTGAGCGCCCCCATTAGATTGCCTGCAGCCACTGGTAGATTCCTACGGCTCCGTTTTGTAGCCAGGCGATTAAAGCTGTCCAAGGGATGGTGAAATAATTATGATGTTGGACTGCGATTCTTCTGTTCAGTCTTTAAATATGTATACAATCCAGCTGTGCCAAGAGACACACCAAACAATGAAATCGGACACAGATTACGCTGCACACAGGAAAATAGAGACTATATATATCCCTGACCCCAGCCTGTCAGTGCATCTTGTCCTCATCAGCTGCGTGTCCTTCCCACAGTATAACAGCTAGGTTAACTGTAGCTAATATGGCACTGCACTGCTGTCCTCAGTGTCTCGTCTTATCTCTTCAAACATCTGTTTCACTGTACCTACACGCCACTCCACTCCTGTTAATCTAAAGTAGACGGGTAAAAGCAGTGTTCAAGAAACCCGGGAGAGGCAGACATATCTAATCCTATGGAGGCCAGATAACACCATAATCAATCCAAATAAAGTCAATAGGTTTCTGACTCATCCATCACAATCCAAAGCTTTATTTAAAATGGCTTCTTAAGTGAGAAAACTGACAAATAAAAGCATTTCTCATCAAAAACCCATAAAGTAAAAATAATAACCCTCTGGAGGCAGGCGTTGCAGATTTGCAACGTTGAAATCTACCTACCTGGTTACTCCACATACGTATTTCATGAGCATTTTTTAACTCAGAAGTACCCCTGAAGGACCTAGCTGTTCGTCCTTTTATCAAAACTTATTTTGAGCCTGAGAGGGTTAAATCTTAAGCCGCTGTTGTAAATGATCTCTGATCCTGGATCTTAAATATCTGAATGCAACACAGATATTAAATCAGACAAAGGTCACTCTAACTTATGCTGCAGAAGGTCATAATGGCGTGTTAAGGTACTCCTACCATGAGTCTGCAGCTGAAACAGCAGGCTGGTGGTGGACGGTGGGGGGTGCAGTTCAATAAATGGCTAACTCAGACTCAAGCAGCACACTCGTGCATGCACCCACCAGAGGAAATTTTAGATTATTTAATGAACGGAGGATCTTGGACTGTAGGAGAAAATCAGAGAACCTGTTTTCCTTCTACAGGAAAACAGGATAAAAAAAAAAGGCCACAGATGAAGGAAGTCACGAGTCCTCCCCGTGTTTCTGTACTAGTTTCATTTTACCTGAACTTTTGGCAGATTTTAGGGTCTTTAGGCCTTAATTAAACCATTGGTACAGGTGTATGCAGGTATATGCAGGCAGAGAGCCTGGAAAGACCGGAGGTTGTATTTATTGCAATCAGACAATAATACAGAACTAAAGATTAAGCAAAAAATATATATAACTACACCCTCTAGTGGCTGGTTCCAGTACAGGTTTTCACTCCTACCTCTTAAATGTAAATACATGGGACATTTTCCTGATTAACCCTTTGATGCATAATGGTCACTACAGTGGACAGGTACTCAAAATTGTTATTTATTTATTTTTGCTATTAAGCACAGCTGTTGAAGACTTTATTGCATTTGAGCCCCTCCGTGTGGACTTCAGTAAGTCAAGCCAACACATTTCATGTTCAGAATGCACGCTGTCCACTGAGGTGGACATGTAATAAATTATTTGTAAATTATTAAATGTTACAAAAAATATTTGTTGAAATTTGTTTCATTCACACTCAAAGATGAATGAAAAAAAATGTGTAAAAATCATGCTTAAAGATTTCATAATTCATGCGTCAAAGGGCTAAAGGGCTGAGTTTTTCATGCAAGCTGAACATGGAAATAGTCTCCTACACCTATCTCCTGTGTTAGCTTCTGATAGAAAACAGACGGTGAAACTCGGATTAGAAAGGCCTGAAAGATCTATGCCACACTGTCACTTAACATTCACGAACTCACCCATCTTGACTCATAACAGGGAAGGCTGTTGCTGGTTTAGCGTTCAGGAAAAAGCAGAGAACGTCTCTAATAGAGGAAGCTAACCGTTACCATTAGCAACTCCACCACACAGCAGAACTCCTTCAGGCTTGTGTTTTTTGTAGATGTAAAACATCTACGTTGCAAGTCAGTGGTAGTCGCATTGCAGTTATCCAATTCGAGGTGAGAGGCCCAAATATCAGGAAATAAGACACACAAACCTTCCGTCTAAAGCTCAGCTGTGAAGTGGCTCACTTCTAGTTCCTAGAAATGGTGCACCATTGTTTTCTGCCCCCTGAAAATGACTTACAAGGCATTTATTCCTACCAGAGACCACTGCAGACACGTTTACACAGCAGCCCATCGTTATATTCCCACAGAAACATGTTTAATTAGACTCCCCTCATTCTAGGCTTTGGCAGGATATGTTCTCCTGTCCCTGTAATAGACTTAAGGCTAGTTTATACTTCTCCGTCTTTGTCAACACGGAGACACACAACGCCATTATCCATCGTTGTGATGTTTTTAAAGGAAACCATAGTTTATAAATATACAGACCCATTGAAAGTTATTGTTTACAACCGGGTAACAGCGCACATCCACAGAAGCTGGAGGGCAGGAACCCCATTTACGAGATTTAAGCTAACAAAACTAAACGTAGGGATTTAGATCTTACTTTTTTCTTTTTAAATATTTATTTTCATTTATTCACAATAAAAATAAAATTCAAAACAGGTTAACTAAAAAAATACTGAAAAAGGAACAGAAAGAAGTAAAAACTTATAGTATCTGTCCCCTTATTCCGTCACAAGAACTTGCCACCATGTAGATGGTTTAGCCATTAACCAACAGCTTCAATGGGTCTAAACTAATGGTATTTTAGACTGGAGAAATGGTCTGTGAGAACCTTATGAAGTTCCTGCGGGCACCAGGCTGGTGTCTACTGCTTTAGATGGTCTCTCAGTCTAAGTTGAATTCCTGAAATAGACTTTTGCACCATATTACAGTTCCACCCACAGCTGTTCAGTCTACCTCTGCTCTTCCCATTCATATTAGGAGAAAGTGACAAATAAAATCAATACAAAACACTTGTTCCCATCTGTTCCTTTCTCAGAATCCTCCCAAACACAACCTTTGGTGCTTGAACAAACAGAGGACAGACAGCTCTGTTTTCAAGGCCTGGACATGAATGAGGCTTCCATAAATATAAAAAAGCTCAGGCGGTATATTTGCTTTCATTTTAGGAAAACCTGGCCGTTTCAAAGGAATAAGGAGGATCGTTGGGGATCGGCAGACTCGTGGACAGATATAAAAGGAAGAAAGTGCTTACCTGAGGCGTTTTTCAGGTAGCCATTTGAGTCAGCGGTGGTGTACATGACATAAGGACCTGGTTGATTCACACCAAAAGGCTGAAAAAATAGTACAGATTATTTAATTGTTTACAATCTCTTTTCTGATTAGTGTCCATCTTTCAAAGCAAACGAGGACAGATATAAATAGCTGTAATTTAACATCGGCTGACACAGCAATGGCCTGACCTGGCTGGCTCAGAATCTGCCTGATCATAAAGGAGAGTGACATTGGCTTGTTTATGCCTTAGTGTGGGTGGATGCTTAAGTACTGTCTCATCTCCTCATTACGAAAGGATAACAGGGAATGAGCAGACCTGTCAAGTTACCCTTCACTTTACATCATCATGAGCAGACACCCCCCCACCCCCGAAGAGACTTGGCCCGTCATGCAGTAGCCGGATGAGAGAGGAATAAGAATGAGATACAAAAAAAAAAACCTTAAAACAAAAATAAATAAGATGGGGGGGGGGGGGGGGGGGGTCTGCAGGAAGAAGAGGTGTGACTAAGAAGAGTACGAGAGTGAAATGGAAAGACAGAGCAGGCTGATGGATGGGAGAGGATAGGAGTTGAAACAGCTGCAAGCACCACTCGTCTAGTGCATTCATCATAAATTTCACTTAGACATCAAGCGTGCGGAAGAGTAGACAGTGTAGCAAAACAACCAGCAGCCTCTTGTCCATGTCAAAGCTGATGTGTTTTGTAAAGGGCTTCCACCAGTGAGAGGCTGGATTCAGAGTAATACTGTTCTTTAATCTTCATTGGTCTGCCCGCGTGTGATAATTGTCCATTAGCGCACTAGGGATTAATAAAGCTAAACATTCAATCCATCAAACATCTTTACCCCACAGCTGATTACAGATGAAGAGGTTATGTGAGGAAAAAACAAACTTTACACGGTGTTCTCCGGCTGCAGAGCCAAACCTTTAAATTACAGAGAGACTGAGATGGGTGTTTCTGACAAAAACACAGAAACAATGTTTGGTTTTTACATTGGTTTCACTTCACATTTGCACCATTTTTTGTTTTCCAAATAATTTTACAGAGTTCCTCTAATTTTGCTTTTTTCATCTAATTGTTCCAGACAACCTGACTCAATCCAAAGCATAGTTTTTAAATGGCAATTTCATTTAAGGGTCAAAAGTGACCCAGACCAGCCCAAACCTAGTTAATTTATCAGGGATTAACCACATTTTTGTAAAGCTGAGCTAACTTACAACCAGGCCTGATCACTATCACACCTTCAGAAATAAGAAAAACCTGTCTGAAAACAAAAAGGAGGTTAAAGACCTCAAAAAGCAACACATCATAGCTCTTGTGAAGACACTCAAGAGCCAAAGAACCCAGAACAACATCTAAAGCACAGCAGGCCTGAAAATGTGCAAGTTCTCCCACTTAAAATGATGACAGAGGTCAGTAATTTTCATCATAGGTACACTTCAACTGTGAGAGATATAATGTGAAAAAAAATCCATAAATTCACATGGCAGGATTTTTAAAGAATTTATTTGTAAATCAGGGTGGAAAATAAGTATTTGGTCACTTCCAACAAGGAAAATCTCTGGCTCTCACAGACCTGTAACATCTTCTTTAAGAGGCTTTTCTGTCCTCCACTCGTTACCTGTATTAATGGCACCTGTTTGAACTCATTATCTGTATAAAAGACACCTGTCCACAGCCTCAAACAGTCAGACTCCAAACTCCACTATGGCCAAGACCAAAGAGCTTTCGAAGGACACCAGGAAAAGAATTGTAGACCTGCACCAGACTGGGAAGAGTGAATCTACAATAGGCAAGCAGCTTGGTGTGAAAAAATCAACTGTGGGAGCAATTATCAGAAAATGGAAGACATACAAGACCACTGATAATCTCCCTCGATCTGGGGCTCCACGCAAGATCTCATCCCGTGGGGTCAAAATGATCATGAGAACGGTGAGCAAGAATCCCAGAACCACACGGGGGGACCTGGTGAATGACCTGCATAGAGCTGGGACCACAGTAACAAAGGTCACCATCAGTAACACACTACAACGGCAGGGAATCAGATCCTGCAGTGCCAGATGTGTTCCGCTGCTGAAGCCAGTGCATGTCCAGGCCCATCTGAAGTTTGCCAGAGAGCACATGGATGATACAGCAGAGGATTGGGAGAATGTCATGTGGTCAGATGAAACCAAAGTAGAACTTTTTGGTATAAACTCAACTCGCCGTGTTTGGAGGAAGAAGAATACTGAGTTGCATCCCAAGAACACCATACCTACTGTGAAGCACGGGGGTGGGAACATCATGCTTTGGGGCTGTTTTTCTGCTAAGGGGACAGGACGACTGATCCGTGTTAAGGACAGAATGAATGGGGCCATGTATCGTGAGATTCTGAGACAAAACCTCCTTCCATCATTGAGAGCTTTGAAGATGAAACGTGGCTGGGTCTTCCAACATGACAATGATCCCAAACACACCACCCGGACAACAAAGGAGTGGCTCCGTAAGAAGCATTTGAAAGTCCTGGAGTGGCCTAGCCAGTCTCCAGACCTCAACCCCATAGAAAATCTGTGGAGGGAGTTGAAAGTCCGTGTTGCTCGGCGACAGGCCCAAAACATCACTGCTCTCGAGAAGATCTGCATGGAGGAATGGGCCAAAATACCAGCTACTGTGTGTGCAAACCTTGTAAAGACCTATAGTAACCGTTTGACCTCTGTTATTGCCAACAAAGGTTATGTTACAAAGTAATGAGTTGATTTTTTGTTATTGACCAAATACTTATTTTCTACCCTGATTCACAAATAAATTCTTTAAAAATCCTGCCATGTGAATTCATGGATTTTTTTTTCACATTCTGTCTCTCACAGTTGAAGTGTACCTGTGATGAAAATTACTGACCTCTGTCATCATTTTAAGTGGGAGAACTTGCACAATCGGTGGCTGACTAAATACTTTTTTGCCCCACTATATATATATATATATATATATATATATATATATATATATATATATATACATATCACTTATATGGGGGGACAGTAGGATATACTGGGATACTAAAGGACAGAGGATATTTGCAACTTTTAAATTGGAAAACTCAGGCCAGATGATTCCCAGACACATCCAGAGTTCTTGTGAGATGTTGTTAGAATGATGATGGTAAAAACTGCTGCCCCGTAGCAGTTGGAGCTTGAATAGCACCACACACAAACAGTAAATGTTTGCAGGTAAATTCTCAAAAAAGAATTTGTTTAGTCTGCTTTGAAGATTGATTTAGTATCATAACACAAAACTCTGTGTATCAATATTTTCTTGCATTGCTAGCATTTAAAAATTTGTTGTTTTTTTCCAGATGTTTGTGATCTAAAAGTGACAAAATCATATCTTTCTCACAGCGATGCATTTAAGTACAGATGCTCCTCTACTCGTTACCAAACTAGTGAGAGTTGTGGCTTGATTGTGTTAATACGAGCATCAAATATTACATACTATAAGAAACTATCATACTGGGCACAGGGGGCAAACTAGGAACAAGTAGCAGTTATGAGAACATCAATCCCAGCCAGTCTCAGTAGAGATCAGCTGTCAGGGTGTCCCTGCCCAATAACAAACTTCAAACAGCAGATCCCATAGCATCATTTCAAATGTCAGGAGTTTAAGAAAATACTGACTTGTTTATTATTATTATTGAAATTCTTACACTGTACATTATTGGAAAAACCCGAGTCGCTATAAAAGGAAGGGAAGCCTTTGGTGCAACAGTTTCTTTTGGCTCACTGAAGCCACCAGAACCCTGGTTTTGTAACAGGGTAACACATCTCTCTGAAAAGCTTTTGTACTCTTCTGATTTTATCAGCCCTTTGATGCCTGCAGAAAGGAGGCAGCAGAGCAGCCGTACAGCATGACAGAACCTACACCATGTTGTACCTTTTATGATGGGCTTCATTTTCTCACCAGAAAAAGTGTTGGGAGTTCAGTCTCGAAGAGCTAAAGGTTAAACTCAGTTCCGAATGTTGTGAAAAGCTAAAGGTGAAGTTCTGGAGTAAGGTGCAGGTTTGGATCAGGCTTTCTGAAATGTTCACAAACTAAAAACCAATCAGGTTCATTTTCTGCAGTAAAGTACATAATTACATGTTTACCTCAGGTCTAATCAATCGTATTTGTATTTTCTAAGGAATCATTTCAATTCATCCCATAAGTATAAATAATAAACCGATATGTAAAAATACCCAGACTACTTTCTGATACTGTAGTCTGACTGCTTTGTTTGGAAACCTTTATTGTTTTACTGAAATATGTTGGTTTTCCTAGCATTTCTTAAGAATATACCTCAAATTCCTGACCACAGATCTGAAAAGGACACAGTTTTCCTACACAAGACTTCTTTTTTTGTCAAATTAGTCAAATGGCATGTTCTTACCCTGACATCTTCAGGACAGGCGTTGGAGCAGAGGCCACTGAGCACTGGGGAAGAGGAAATCACAGATCGTCAGAGCGAACATCTTTTTCAGGAACACAGTAACACTCTCTGTTGTAGGGAATGCTGTTGCTGTGCTGAAACAGCCAGCGTGTCCAACTGAGATAGATGAGTTTACGCCGAGACTCAAACTCATTTTAAAGTGTTTGACTGGAAACAGAATCAGTTAAATCCCCGATTATTGTTCATATTTACACCACATTTAACAGAATTTAATCATCAGTTGTGCATGCTATGTTGGTGTGATCGAAACAGACAGAAGTGGAGGTTAAAATAAACCACAGCAATTAAAAACCCAAAACAATAAGCTATTAACATGAGCGTGTTTGCTCTAGCAGCTTTTCACTTATTGACACAAGCGAGGCGAGGATGAAGTCCAGTGAATAGTAAATCAGGTATTAGAGAAGTGATTTTATTAGCATAGTAATGGCATTCTGAGTTCAGAGTTCCTTTGATTTGGGCGGCGGAGTCAAGCTAAAGCCTAATTGTGTTCATGAGGTCAGGCACTGAATTAGACAATGACCAATGCACCCGTCTAAAGATGACAACACAGAGCTAAAGCAAGGTAACAACAATGGAGGAAAGAAAACACAGAAGAGAAATGTCTGGGGGGGTATTTAGTTAGCAAGTGATGGACAATACCACTATGGGTAAAGTCTTCAGTAGGGTGTAAACATTGCACTAGAAGGTGGATGGTGTTTGCAGGGTCGTGGTGAGGTGTTCCAGTGCAGATTAAAGGTCTCATTCACTCAAATTTTAAGAACTGAGTTTGTTTGTGGTCTCCAGTGTGAACTGATGTCATATGAGACATTTTCAGTGGAAAACAGCTCTGGAGCTGCTGTTTCAGGAAGTAGAAATTAGTTGGGGATAGGGGCAGAAAAGAGCAGGACCTGGTGTCTTACTTATTAATATTCATGATATGCAAACATTTAGCCTCTGATTGGTTAACAGCAGTGTGACTTGTCTGCTGCTTTTGATCGTTCTTGTTTCTAAAAATGCAATACTGACGTTTTATTTTGTTCTGCCATGTTGTGGAGTTGCTAATGCTAATGGTTAGCTCATATTAGCTTAGACACTCTGCTCTCTCCTGGCTACCTAATCAACACAGCCCTCTAGGGTTACAAGCAAAGGTGGGCGGGGCCATAAATGCAAATTTTACAGTGTGATGTAGAAGGGACTGGCTTTCTCTGGCCTGATTATTTTCTGTGTATTTCCTACCTGTGGCTAATGCAGGCCATAAGACAAATGTCATATCGTATCAAAAAGAACAACTATTACACATTTTTTGTGAATGAGACCTTTAATAACATCAGAGGCTCCCCATTAAAAGTGGTTTACCAAGGTATTGAGCTTGCACCTGTTAGCAAGTTCATGGTGGTTAATTTTCATGGCACCAAAATACTGGTAGTATGGGTAGAATATCCATGAGGTCCACATGCACCAGCGCGGGTTGGTTTTCTTAGTGTCACACCAGTGTGATCTTCTACTTCAAAGCTCCTGCAGTGGACCAGGGCCATGCTGGAAATGGTTGAGGTGCTATGCAGAGGTTAATAGTGAATCGTCATGGAAACATGCTGCTAACAAATAGAGCATGGTGAAGGTGCAGAGAGCTTTTCAGGGATGCACAAGGTAGCAGGAGAAGTCTATTAGAGGAACAAAAGTACAGCAATAAAGCCACATTTTGATTGGCTGTGTAGGCTGTAGCTGTGTTGTAATCTAAAGTTTCTGCCAATCCCATAATCCCACATTCACTTATTTACTAGTCTTCTCTTTTACATCACACTCGATTGATTACTAATCTCACATCTGGCTGAGAAAGCTGCATTTATTATAGAAAGCTTCATGTTGTTGATCACAATCAGGACATCACGGTGTTTGTTGTGCACTCATTTGTTGTAACTCGTCAGAATAAAGCTAAATGAGTTTAAGTTCCTTATCTCTCCCTCCCACCTGTTGGTCTGCAGCTGGTTGATGTGCCGTACCTGCAGCTCCCATTGGAGGCTTCAACCCGCCTCCCCATCGGATTCTGATGTTTTGTATCTGTGCTGTTTGTGCTTCTATGTTGAGGAGTTTTTTTTGTGTGTAATAGTTACTCCCCGCTGGGTCTAACTCTGCTATGCCTTTTTTTTTTTACCTTACCCCCAATTATCCTCATGTAACACCCTTTTCATCTATCTATTAAGGTAGCGCGACTCATGTTGCGAATGACCGCAGTCACCAATTCTTGTCATGTGTCTTACCCATGTATGTCTGATCTCTGAATTGTGTGCACTGAAACTCAATTTCGTTTCTCTGTATGTCCTGCACATGTGGTAGAAATGACAATAAAAATGACTTTGACTTTGAAGTTGTTGCTGAGGTACAGCTCACTGATGATACACAGATGTTTACAAATCTTTAAAAATACAGAAAAGCATTTGAAAAGGCAGCACTGACAGTAGCTTTAACTTAAGTGAAGTTCTTAATCAATACCACAGTGACGTTTGGAGGGACTTTACTAGTATTCAGCTCGGACAGGAAGCAGCTAGCTCAATACAGCAGGCTACATCTATCTGACTGATGAGAGCAGGCTTGTTAGGAATACAGCGCGTGTGCACGCTGAAGAAAACAACAACAAAACAGAGTGTGGACAAATATCAGGTTTAACTTGGATAAACAAAAAAAAAAAAAAAACAGGGCTGAAAACTTTTAGCTGGAACAAAGCATTCTGGGTAACCGGCTCTATCAACAGCTGAGAGAGAACCCATGCATGTTTCTTTATAGGTCAGTTACTCTTAATGTACAAACTATGACACCCTGACCAAATCTCCACAGACACACAGAGAAACATATTCTGTTTAGGAGTGGAAACCTTTCACGCAGATTAAAAAACACAATTTTATTTGGATTAATGTGGACTATAACACAAGCATCAGGACTTTAGAACTGAGACAAAAACGTTTAAAGAAATATCTGTTGGTACAATGTGGCAGACTAATAAAAAACAGTTTCTTTGTTAGCTGCTTTAGTAATTAGAGTGGTCATTAAAACGTACTTATGGGAAACCACAGAGACACTAAAATATGTCATACAAATAATGTTACTGACCTTCAGCAATAAAAAAGGGTGTTAATAAGTAATAGATGGGGCTGGTGCGGGTGGCGTACAATGATGGGCAGAAGCTGCTGCTGAGGGTACCTGGATGGAGCGCAGCCAGCCAGATGTTTATGTATGCTGGTACTCCTCCATGTGCTGCTAATCTAATGTACAGATGTATGTGCTGTCTGATGGCCTCCGACAATAACGTTGTTTCCCTTCCGTCCAGCACAAACGAAGCTCGGTTCACTTCTTCAGTCTCTGGAATCACTGGGGCTGTTGCCTGTATGTTTTTGACTGATTAATATCACAGCAAAAATGAAATCTGTTCTAGTAAAGGAAGACCTTGAGGGACTGATTCATGCATTTATCACCTCCAGATTGGATTACTGCAAAGGTCTTTATGTAGGGGTGAGTCAGGTGTGTCTCTCTCACTTAGTTTAAAATGCTGCTGCTCGCCTGCTGACTGGCACCCGCGGGTCGGAGCACATCACCTCAGTGCGGGCTTCCCTTCATTGGATTACGGTTGTTTTTTTGCAGCGTGTTTTAAAATCCTTCTTTTAACGTAAAAGTCCTTAAAATGACAATGCATAGTTTCAACCATTAATCTCTGGAAATATCCATCGAAATGTTGTTGAAAATGAATGAAACAATTCCCAGTTGTTGAAAAATATTGGCAGCTACGTAATATAACCATAAAAATCAGGTCTAAAATGGGAGCGGGTCTAATGGGCCATTCCCATCTGTACCGGGTCGGCCCGGGCCGGGTAGCGTAGGTTGTTTACATATCTGGGTGGCCTGGTATTTTTCCGGGCCAACCAAGGCTCATTCTCAGCCCTCTTCTCGAGGGGGTCTGCTTCAGGCCGACCAGGGCCAACACACCCACTGCTGACAGGAAATTCACACCTTCCATTAGAGCAAGCCTCTGATTGGAGGGTAGAATCAGCCCACATGGGCTTAAGGCAAGGATGTGTGGAATCAACCGGGCCAGGCTGGGGCCGATTGGGGCTACCCGGCCCGGGCCGACCCGGTACAGATGGTAATGGCCCATTAGTCTCTGGGCGACGCCATATTAGATGCCATGTTTCCTTCTACGGGAGCCCATGAGGACAAAATGCATTTACTGATTTGTAACAAATGATTACAAAACTTTCACTACTCATAAATGTTGTTGTTTTACACATTTACATCTTCACTTGTTAACAGTGATGAAAGGGAGTCTGATGTTCTTGTTATTTTGCTGGAGTTTGAACTCTCCAAGGCTTTTTGACCCTAATAGGCATCTGTCGGTAAGGTCTTACTCCAACACAAAAATACTGCTTGCTTGCAGTGATTTAGGTATCTACTGCCCCCTATCATCAGGAGAAATGCGCACTACCACTTAAATTGGGCATGCACCTTCTTATCTCTATGTACAGTAGCAGTCACACTTTGCAGCGTGACGACTACAAATTAATTATGACCAATAAGATGTGATTATTCCATATGAATATGAAATATTAATCTGATTGATTTTTGACTGTTTAATCAGAAGAGTCTAGAGTTCTTTGCTTGTTCAGGGATCATAAACACACTTCTTATTAATTCAGACAGAGTCAGGTATATAGTTCAAAAAATGTTTTATTCTTTTCTAAACCAATTATAATACATGACAAGATATGAATAATGAGATGTGATGGAGTGGACATGCGGTGATGGAATGTGATGTGTAGGTGGTGTGATGTAAGTTAGATGTTTATCAGAATCTTTGAATCTGAAAGAAATTGTGAAATCTGGGTGTAAAATAATTTGTTGTTTGCTATAAACTAGAGAGTTGATTGTTAATAAAACAGCATCAGACGCAATCTGTTGTGTCTACAAACCCTGGCGGAGACCCCCAGCAGATCCGGGCTGTCAGAAGTTGAGCGGACTG